GAGAGAGAGAGAGANAAGAGAGAGAGAGAGAACTGAAACAAATAAGAAGGCAATTACTGGGATTATAGAATGGAAAGACTGAATAGAGAAATAAATATGTTTTATGCAGCTAATATAATAGCCAATTTAATACCACTCATTACTGGCTCATAGATAGGTAAGGGTGACATTGCTGTGGGCCGGGAAACGATTTCCCTTATTGACATATGCAAAATGTTATCCGGCAAACATTTCCATTTTGATCGATTTGATCATGTTAGTTTAAAATGTTAAATAATGCAAGTACTTCATACTAATTATGAAGCAATCATTTTCTTGATTTAAATGAAATTTGTTGAGATATGTTTGTTCCATTTGTATTTCAATTATATCTCAAATTCTTCCTGTCAATATGTCATATATTTGAAAATCATTTCATTAGTTATTTTCAAATGTTTCGGCAAATTTAACTTCATCTGTCATCGTATCATAATTCATAAACGATGGAACTTCCAATCGTAATGTCAAATTTGGAAAAGTTAAAATACGATTTGAAATTTAAATTTTCCTTAGTATTGTCAAAAATAAATCCTTTTGATGATTACAGTTGCTATTTCAAGTTTTTTCCTTGAGAAAATCTATTCAGCGATTCGTTCCTTTTCTTTATGTCTCTTTTGTTCAAATACTATTTGTTGATATTGAACATTCTTATAATAGCATAATACCAAATATTTTTAAAAGACAATTTTAGTTTATAACTTTAAGTTTCATTTAATATTCTTTATTCAAATGAAGTGTGTGACAAAAAAAGGAAAGTCTAAAAATGTGAAATCTTCCATTCCTAGAATTGCATTTATTTGAGTATTAATAAAATTTATAGTTTATTTGTTGTTAATTTGTGTTAACATATAAATTACATTGAATAATTAAAATGATGAAAGTTACTTTTAAATGTAACACTCGTAAATTTGTCTAAAACACTTGAATGTTTCCTTCATTGAACTATAACAAGCAACTGTTCTTCTTCCTTTCCTTCTCTCCAATCCTACCTCATTAATCAATTCCTTAAATCTTCCCAAATTTTCAACCTTTTTTTTTTCTTTTGAAAATGCATTTGATAGAAATGGAATTTCTGCAGCATTACTATACTCTTTCAGAAGCTAATTTTCCTTTTAGTACGGTCATTTATTTACCTTTTTAAAAGAAATATTTAAAAATGTTGCGCTAAATATTTTTTTATTTGCGACATTTGCGCCTTTCCTAGAAAGATATATGCAATGCGCATGGCAAAAGAAAAGGATTTTGAGACACATTGATTTAAAATGCTTACAATTTCAAGTTCATACTTAAGCAAACATAAATTGTACTTAAGCAAACATAAATTGTCACAAGTTTAAGTTCGTGTAATTCCTATGTGACACATATATGTAATTATGTAACGGGATGATCCTACTTTGTGACCTGAGCTTCAAAATTTTTCAAACCTTCATTAAAAATGTAAATTTCTAAATTTCAAATATGATATACGGTAAGTAAGAATAACTTTGTAATAGTAATTCTTGCAAAAAAAAAGAAGAGGAAAGTATAAAAATATTTTACAATTTTATTTATAAACCGCGGAAAGAGTATCAGGAGGAGAGTACTGCATTAGTTTAAAAAAAAAAAAAATGGAAGAGCGAAAAGCAGAAGTAAAGATTAGAATGGATATGTCTCATTCATACTATTAGAAGATATTTTTTAACTTCAGCCAATTCATTTCATATGGAAATAACACTTTTTACCTCTCTTCCATTTCATTTTTCATTTCTGATTATTTCAAATATGACACTTTTTTTTAATAATAGTAATAATAACAATAATAATAATAATTATTATTATTATTATTATCATTATTGTTATTATTATTATTATTATTATTATTATTATTATTATTATTATTATTATTTATT